GGGGCGGGGGGGGGGGTGGAATCTCTGGAGATCAGAGTATAGCAGCCTGAGCGGTTTATTTAAAAAATCTTCTGATGAATCCTTTTTTTGTACTCAGCCCACGCTGGAATAGGGCTTTGCCTAATATCTGATCTACTTTGTTTTTGGAAGGAGCAGTGTAGAGCAGAGCAGAGTTAGAACCCCTCATAGCTTTTTGAAGATGTCTAGGTCCCAACTGGGGAGAGTCGTTCTCCATTTCTCCTTGTGACCATTGTCACCATGGTGGAAAAAAACTAAAAAATTTGAGTGGAACACAAAACAGGAATAGAGGGTAACTTGTTCCAATGACAACTGTTTAAGAGGCGGATGCTCTCACTTTGGAGAGACTTGATCTCATTTCCTGGTGGGTCTACAGGACAGGAAGAGAAAGTTGGAGGAGTTGGATGAGCCCATAAATAGCTCCAACCACTAAACCTAACCACCAACCGGGAAGGCGGAGGGGTATAGGGAGGAGAATGCAAAAGTGACCACTTCACCACGAGGTATGCAATGGATCAAAATGACAATTCCACAGCCTTGGCTCCTTCCTCTCTCTCTCTCTCTCTCTGTCTCCCACGCGCTTTTCCCCATTGGGACATAGGAGGTCGAGAGGGGAAGTTATAACAAAACAAGACTTGGAGACTGGATAAGTCATACGAAAAACAAAAACACGGACAACGTTCTTCAAAGCCATTCAATCCCCATCATCCCAGAATGGACAGACTTACTGGAATCAAAGCACGGCAATGTTGGCTCATAATGACCTACAACGGGAGATAAATAACCTGCAGGAAACCCCAACTCATCAAATGGAAGTCATGGAGAACCAAAGAAGATGGATCAACCCACCCGTGGAGTCCCTCAAGACATCAAAGACCTCCCAAGCATGGACCTAGGGCCTCTTCAGACATGTGCTTCCAAATCAGATCTGAATGCAACCACATACACACAGGGGCTCTCCGATCCAAACCTCCCCTTGGTGAGCAGGCTATAGGGATCATCCTTCCACTACTGTAGTACCAGGGGGAAGGGAGATATCCTTAAAGTGTGTCTACACCCAAAAACGTAATATATCCGAGCTTACCAAGCCTTAGATGTGGCAGCTTCTCTAGTTTTCCCTTTTTTCAGGAGTTCTTTCCTTTAATTTCACCCGGTGATTCTGGCAGTTAGGGGTGTCCCTAGGGGGCACTGCCGGTGCTTGAGATGGGGAGGTGGTGGCATTGGCTTGTTACCTCCGGCATTCCGCCCAGCTCACTGATTGCCAGGCGCTGGACAGGGATGCCAGCCAGAGCATCACAGGTAGCCAAGAGCCCCCCATGTGACCCAATGAGATGCTGCCTGATCCAACCGCCTGTTATAGGCATGGCCCTGCTGCCAGTAACACACTTACTGCCTTAGAGTGTCAACACTTGCTCACTGTACCTATGGAAAAGCAGCGTTGTCACCCTAGGACAGGAATACAGAACACCTTCTCTCCAGAATGTAGTGGAGGGGTGTTCTGAAGCCCACTGAGCAAGCAGGAACAATGTAAATGATAACAGTTTAGTACAGCCAGCATAGGAAGCGATCATCTCACGAAGCTTCTGGCAGGATCATCATGTTTTTCTTTGCACCTACTGAACACTTAAAACACTTTCTACATCCAACAGACCAAAAGGGAGCAAATAATAGAAGTTCATTCTTGGGGTTTATATAATTAAAAAGTATTAAATCCTAGGGATAAGTATATAGCAAGCAGGCCAATAGCATGAATCAGACGGAATACAGCAATGGCGGCCCCGGCATTCTCCTCGTGACGAGGTTATTTGGTTATTATTTGAAGTGAAGAAGGTAAAATGAAACCACGTACGCCAGTGACTAGCGGAACACAGGAAAGAGTGAAGGAGGAAAAATAAGAGCTGGAAAGGGACTGAGGAATGAATCACTGGAAGGTGTCTGGGAGGGGAATCGTGTATCCAACAATGACAAAAATGGTGTTTCCACCATCCAGAGCCAAAACGCTGGAGAACGTACACACGCTGAAGAGATCTGGACTCCATGGAAAAAAAAAAAAAAAACAGCTCAGTGTTCTTTCAAGAGCTCAGGAATCACGGAACATACTGTACGGCCTTCAGCCAATAGCGGAATCCCTGCTGGAGGTTGTGAAGGAGCAGTTGTAGTCATAATAATGATACACGCCTTTAAAAATATTCAAAAAAGTTTATAGGGTAGTTACAGTGTTAAGATACTAGTAAAGGATACAAAAACCCCAACATGAACTTCTCTTATTTGCTTCCTTTTGGTATGTTGGATATCCCAGTGAATGTGTTTTCTTATATCTGTGCAAAAAAATTACATTTGGCCCTGCCAGAAATCTTGTGACATGAAAACCTCCCTCCCCTCCCTGAAAACCCTTTCGTCCTTCCTTGAAAACCTTCTGACCCTCCCTAAAACCTCCTGCCCCTGCTGTACTTTAATCAGTAACATTGTTCCCAGCTACGCATGTCTAACGGCGACAGAATGCTTCCCCTGTTATGGAGGTCTAGCCAAGTGCAAGTGCCCTCTTATAGTTCTGAGGCCATAGGGAATTTAGAAAAGACAAAACAAATAAAAGCATCTGGAAAAAAAAATCTGAACGCCTTTAGAATTCCTCTATACCTGCAGAGTGATTTGAGGGAGTCCTGATCCAAAAAGCTGTGGTCTCTCTTCACGCAGGCGATGTCCAAAGGAAACTGGTTATCTGCAGGAAGAACAGAAAAAGGAAGGATTAACAAACCATTGTAATTGACAATTTTAAAAGGCATGAGCTTCTAGGTGGCATCTCAGTCCAGGAAGTAGATGGTGAACCTGGATGATGCCTGAACAAAAATGGTGCCGAAAAGCTGATGAAGGCCTAGTCAGGGGGAGTACTGAGATCTCTGTGAGGTAATAAATACCTGGAAGGGTCACACTTACATATTACTGGGCATGCTGCATTTAACATCCGAGGACAGGTCCACTTTAAATCCAAAGCTGTGCACATTCGGAAAGGCACACAGAACCACTGTGCAACTATCTGATTGGTCACTTCCTCATTGAACAGGAAGGAAGGCTTTGCACCTAGTTATGAGCTTCGCTTGTTAGCAGTTGCTGTCGTCTTTGTTTATTTGGGAACTGTTTTTAGGAGGGAGTGAACTGGAAGTCACTTGGCCAGACAATGGCTGGCTTGACACTTCCCCATGATGCCATGCTTCCACCTATTGTTCTGCGGCAGAGTCCCATCCTCTCCCGTGTGAGTGCTGGAAACGCAATTCCTGAGTTTGTGCCTCGGACTAAAAGATATTCAGTGTTAAGTAACCAGAGCTGAGTAGAATGCTGGTGTGCCAGGCAAAAGCAAACATTGTCCTTGGACCCTTTATTAAAAAAAAAAGCAGAGGTGAAGGACAAGATAACCTTATCGGGGCAAAACTGCCATGATAAGCCTTGCTTTCTACTTGGCTACAGTCATTGTTAGAAACACAAACATTTACTTTCTGTAGTTAAACTTGGAGCCCATGCCACGTCCAGGCTTGGTCCGCCATAATCCTGAAGGCAATGGAGAATTGGAAAAAGCCCAACCTCAATGAGAGAATGCATGCTCAAGGTGGTCTTTGCAGAAGAGGCCATTACTCGGCTTTAAGGAGCTCCTTGTACGGCCTCTCTGCAATTAGCTTGTATTCCCTAGTTAAGAGAGAGCACGCCAAAGTATGTGTACTTGTGGAGTCTGCATCTCAAAGTAGAGGTGTTGGTGGAAAGAACAGGGGCCTGGCAGGTGAGGTCTTTTTGACCTCTTGGAGGAGATGCAAAAGAAAAAAAGTCACCATGTAGACATTGTTTGTTGTCCTCCATGCCTGAGAAGTACGGAATCATATGGTACGCTGCCCCTTGGGGGCTTTGGAGTTTATTCTCCCCGATGTAGTTGAGCCAAGAAAAGAGAAATTGGGGCTTTTTGGTTGTTGACACCAGAGCAAGTGTAATGCTCGATGGCGAGGTTTAAAGATGGTCATGGAAGAGACTTTCCAATAAAACCCATTTATAAATTTTGATAAACCCAATTGTGTGGACCCTAGTTACTTCAGTCTCTCCTTGAGGAGTTAGTTTTAGGATTGCTGTTAAGGTTAACATGTTTGCCTTCCCCTTGGTCTCCAATGCATTTTGCTGATTAGTGAAATTTTGCCAAAATTTCCAGATACCCAAGTTTTGGGAAAGTTAAATCTTGAGGTACTGAAGAAAAGAAGGTTTGACAGAGGCCAAGAAAAACCAGAGAGAGTACAGAGATTGAGGAACTCTGGGAATGAGCAGCAAAGTAAGGAGAACATGGTGTAAGAACATACAGAGTAAGTTGACCAAATCTGGTGACTTGGTCTGCAGGGAACCCTCTCAGACGAAATGGATAAGAAGCACGTGTGTGCAGAAAGGCTTCGAGAAGAAGTAGCAGTGACAAGTTTAAACCCTGGTGAGGTCCTGTCCATGACAAAGGGAGCAGCTACATAGTTAATCAGGTTGGAAAGAGACACAAATCCATCGAGTTCAACCAATAGAGCTGGTTCGGGAACCGGTAAGAGTATGGCCCTGGGAATTGCACCCATCAGCTGCATGGGGCCAGTGATGGGCACCCTGAGTCCATGCTCACCCCTGTACATACTTCCATATAATTGTAAGTGATTCTGAAGAACTATGGTTTGAGTCCCGATGGTAGAAGCTTACCTTCGTAGAGCTGGGCATACTGAGGAAATCCTGCAGCCCGCAGCCAGTCACAAGCTTTCTTGGCCTCAGCTTCTGTAACAAAACAAAACAAACATTTACAGGTAAGTATTAGAAGGATATAAGAGTATAAACATCCAAATTAATGGCAATCTTTAAAAAAACATAACATTGCACTCAAGATAGAAGTCGGAGGTCAGCTTTTGGATTTAAAATTGTTATCTATGGTACAAAACTAAAAACAAATCTGTATTTCTATGAATTCTATCCCGCTCCTAATAACCAGATCCACCTAGAAGTCGGATGACTTGCTGCAGCTTCTAATGCACATTATGAGAAGTTCACAGTGTGCAGAGAACTCACAGTAAGCCATTCCAGTCCAGGAGAGGAGCCTGTAAAGAGGAGCCAAGACCACGGTGCTTTCCAAAGCATTCCTACAGGGAAACACAAACGTGTCAGCGGGCGCTCTGCCTCCAATAAATTATCACAGCCTATAATAAAGTCCGCACTCCTGAGCAAATAGTAGTGGGTGTCATGTCTCATGTTAGAGACACCTTGTCAGCTGATTGGCTTATCATTGGTCGAGCCCTTTGCGATTATCCAGCTCACTGCACGTTTCTATACCTACCCTCCCCAACTCCCCCCCCACCATACATAGTGCCAAATAGTTTCCACTGCTAAATATTTTCCAGTAAGAGCTCAGACAGGACGGTTACACCAGTTCTCGCACTTCGGAGCATCACTTACTCCGCGCTGCAACCTTCCAAAAAACACCCACCGAGGAAATGTGAGCAAATATAGAACACAAACATCGTTTTCCTCCCGGTGTCCTTCACAAGAAATAATGTCCTGAAAGTATGCTCCATAAACAATGCTTAAAGTGAACCCGTCATCAGATATACTTTCCATGATCAGTGCCGGCTCAGAGATGACATAATCATGGGATATAAAGAAAATCTCCAGGCAAAGCTTTTTGGCCAAATTTTAGCCACTATGTGGTTTTCACTGGCATGGGGCAGATCCAACCGTACTACTTGTCCTGAAGACCAATGTCACCAGAACAGAACGTCCAGAAGAACCCAAAAATTTACAGTTGCAGCTGAAATAGGAGCTGAAGAAGAATCCTGAAATGGGGACACCTAAACTGGTGGTGCCGTTGGTGGGATTTCCCATCATTATGGGGAGATTTTCACTTCCTGTTGGGTTTCGGAGCAAAGGACCAACAAGGAAATCTCTGCAATGGAGACACATGTAACAATAAAAATCCCAGATGTCATCACACCTCCCAAACCGCTCAAAAACTTACTCTTAGTTCCGAGTGCATCTTACACAAAAAGAACAAAAAACACCCAACTGATTGAGCCATTTAAGGAACAGGCACACTTGGTTCTTTCAAATGCAAATTACATGGTTTGGGCCACGGTGTCTGGTACATCTACAGGAAAAGGAAGCTTTGTTCCAAAAGCCAACACACTTTTCGAAGAGTCTTCAACCTGAGCACAGCTGGTCTGGACCTCCTTGTAATGACAGAATGCTGCCCTTAGGTGGCGTAAGGACTGTTTTCATAAATCAGAGTTTTAGAAGACATTTGATTTTGATTGATTCATGAATTTCAATTCCCTCAGCCGAACCCCAATTTGTGTTATTTTGGGGGTTCCCAAAAGCCTTCTGAGAGAAAAGGAACCAGAGGCTGCCCCAATGGCTGCTCCTGAGTGGCATTCTTTGGCTGTTCCCTGAGCACCCTTAGATTGACTACCAGGTCCTACTCTTCCTTAAACTGACTGCCAGTCCCACCCTTGCTTACATTGAGAGCCAGTCTCACCTTTGACAGACAGTCCCACCAGGTCCCACCCTTGCTTAGAATGACAGCCAGTCCCACCCTTGCTTAGGACAGCCAGTGCCACCAGATCCCAACCTTCCCTAGAGCGACAGGCAGCCCCACCCTTTCTTAGATTGACAGCCAGTCCCACTAGGTCCAAACCTTTCTTAGAATGACAGCCAGTCCCACCCCATCTTAGATTGGCAGCCAGTTCCACCAGATCCTAACCTTCCCTAGAGTGACAGCCAGTCCCTCCAGGTCACACCCTTCCTTAGAGTGACAGGCAGTCCCATCTTCTCTTAGTATCCCTGGTAGAATTTCTAAAGGAACTGGCTCAAGAGGTTATTAAGATGGGGCCAATTTTTTGCCTTCATCAGAAAATCAGATGAACCTTCTCGAAGCTACTCCAAGAACCATTCTGCACATTTTTGCACCATTTGCTGCTCTGTAATAAAACACCTTATGGAGCCTGATTCGGACCTCCATCGACTTCAGTGGGACCTCTGGTTGTGGAAGTTATGAATCCCTGAGGTTGGAAAATTATGGGCAGTTGCCAAGCATGATTGACTGACCCACCCGTGTTGTAGGATCTAGCGTTCAGCTTTTATACCCAAGAATGAAGCATTCACTTGGAGCGTGATCAATAATTCTTGGGCCATCATCCATTGTTAACTCTTCACCGATGACCCGCAAAAGGCTTTTAAAGAGTTGCTTATGGACAATTTGCGTTGCCAGAGTTTGTTGCCATTTCACGGGAGCACGCAATGTGAAGACTAGACATGTTTGGCATCCACTTACTCAATACTACCTACAAGAAACTGGGTGATATATTGTGTTGGCATGTGCTAAAATAAACAGATGTGACAATATCCCGCAACATAAAAAATTGCAACCACCACCATTTTATTCTCTGTGGTTTCTGCTTTCAGAAAACAACCCGGGGGCGGGTGTAAACTTCAGGCTGAAATGTGCATTTTAACATGCATCCAATGCAAAAATAGGCCCCAAGAGCGACAGTGTTAAGGCTGCACGTTTCACCACAATGCAGAGTGAATGGGCTCTAATGTATCAATCAGAATGCAAGCGGCCTATTTACAGCACCAGCTATGTTCCTGTGCCAGGATCTTACTACAGACCCTGTTCTGCCCCTGAATGGCCACTTAAAAATGTACAGCTTAACTCAGGGCACACGTCCAAGTGCAGAGATGAAATAGGTCTATGGGAGCAGGGCAACCTTCCAAGGGATTTCTATATCTGCCCATCCAGTCTAGGGAGTTACACAGCTCTGCCAGACTACACAGCCAGCCTGGTGACCTGATTTCAATCTACTGCAGTAAAGTAACACAGCCTAGTCACAACCCCACCCCCATCCTGTGACTGAACAGCAAAGTAGCAACAGACAGATGAGCTCTTTTCTTCAATCTCCGCTCCTATCAGCATGTACATTGCTAGAACATATGCATGCAACATCGCTAACTGGATCCTAGTCTGAGTGCTGCTGTACAGAGGACTGCGAGAGGCAGACACCAAGCCAATGTAAGGCAATTCCAGCTTATAAGAGATTTTAGTAATTGGGGGATAAATCAGCTTTTTTTAGTTCTATATCTGGCTGTCCTATTTCTACACAGTAGCTGCACCAAGGTCAGTGTTTGCAATGCAATCAAAAAACATGCCACAGAACAAAGAGTGCACGAGACAGAACAAAGAACCTGGAGACCTTCTACAAAAGGTAACTTATAGCCTTTGTGACCATTGTCTTTGGCAAACGTGTCCCAAGCCAGATGAAGCGATTCATTTTCAGCTCTTTACTTAACATTTTGCTACAAGGACAATATGAACGCGTTCCGCACATACAGATAAAGCTTGTTCTCTCTATGAACCAAACGCTTCAAATTGGGGTTCATCCAGACTTGAGCCCATCACTTCCATAAGGGTATCTGGAAAAGGAAATTGCTTAGGATACATTAGTGCTTTATCATCTAGTTAGGAGATTCCAACTTAGGACCTGGAGGTGGGAGGTGGTTGTATAAAACCCTAATTGTACTAGAGGTCTAAATGGACATGGACCCCCTACAAATGATTGGGTTTAGGTGTTCCCAGTGAAGGTTCTGTTAATACTCCATCATACAAAGACACTGTAGACAAATGTGTTCTTTCAAGTTGTGGTCACAGTTTGGTGAAGACCCTTTTCTGTTCCATCATGACTGTCCCCTGTGTACAAAGCCAGCTCCATAAAGACATGGTCTGGCCAGCTTGGTGTGGAGGAATTTGAGCCTCCTGCACAGAGCCCTGAGCTCAAACCCTACTGAACATCTTTGGGATAAATTGGAACCCCTCTAAATGATTGAGTTTAGGCATTTCCAGTGAAGGGATCTATTAATACTCTATCATACAAAGACATCGTAGACCTTGTGGTAACAGTTTGGTGAAGACCCTTCTCTGTTCCATCATGACTGTCCCCTGTGTACAAAGCCAGCTCCATAAAAACATGGTGTGAACAGACTGGTGTGGAGACTGTTAAAGCCATAGAAAGGGGCCAACTCCATATTTATGTCCAAGCTCCATTAACTCATTCTTTGACCAGTTTGGTGTGAAGGAACTTGACTGGCCTACTCAAAGCCCTGACCTCAACCCTACTGAATACCTTTGGGTTGATTTGGAACACCCAAGTTGGGCCAGGTCATCAGTACCTGACCTCACGAATGGGCACAAGTTCCCACACTTTGAAACCTTGTGGAAAGCCTTTCTAGAAGAGTGGAGGCTGTTATAGCCACAAAAGCGGGACAACTCTATATATTAGAGTGGGGGGAAAACTCCATTTTATTCCATGTTGTTATTAGCCATGGGAGGGATTGACTCGATGTTAATGGCCTTGGTGTTGGAATGGGATGTCCAGCAAGCTCATAGAGCGGTGACGGTCATGTGTCCACCAACGTTTAGCTACACGTTGACACCTATGCCTTTATACAACCAATTAATTCAACTTGGACACGTCACATTTTTCGGCGTGCTTTGTAAACAAGCATCGACTTCCGTTAAAGCCAAAACAAGAGCTGGAAATAGTTTTGGTATATAAATAGAGAGATCCTATATGTCGGAGCGGTGATGCAAAAGGTACTTTTTAGGACTGAGCAATTGACATGTCAGGCTATTATTATAAGTCGGAATGCAGCCAGTCTGCTTGGCACTGTACATTCCTTTCTAGGCAGCGCACTACATACCACTTGGTGGTTCAAGGCTGATGAGTGGCCGTTGAG